CGGAGCGGCGAGAACTTCGATAATTGGCAGGGGATCGTGCTCTGAAGTGGGGAGAACCACGGGACGAACCGCGGCTCATGGAACGTCGGCCACGTCCTCTGCCACTACCGTATGATCTATCGCGGCCACGTGGGCTGCCACGTCCTCCGCCACGGCTGTCTCGTCCTCGGGAGGTAGATCGTGAAGATCTGTCGTAACGACTTCTCGAGTGACTGCGAGAGTCTGGAGACCTCCTGGAGGATGATCGAGATCGGTCGTATTGGCGTCGGTTGTCACGTCCATGGTGTGAGTCTCTTGCGTAGCGGAACCCCCAGCGTTGTGAAGAGCGTTGGCTCCCTGATCCGCGGGATGGTGGTCGGCCACGACTGTCCTGACTGGAGGTTCGTGGGCGTCTCGGGCTTCGATCGGGTGTCTTCGCACCAGGTGTCAGGTGCGCGTATTTGCATTTGTCGCCCTTGGTGCACTTGTTCTGTGCGAAGTCTCTGCACTGCGCCGTGTGTGGGAAGTTGCACTAGCCTCTGGTGCATGTGTTGCGCTTGGCGAACTCGAAGCAACATGGCTTCGATGCTGGCTTCTTGGGATTCGCAGGGGCTGAAACGCTGCGGCGGGAGTCGCCGCCAGCGCTCGATGCTCTGGAAGATCTGGTGCTCTTCCAATCCCTGGAAAAGGCATGCAAAGCCTTGCATCGCTCACCATTGCGACAGTTGCCTTTCTTCCAGGCGGCGCATGCATGCACTTGAGAACGAGTCTCGTATTCGTACCGTCACTTATTTGGATTCTTCTCCAGTTTTTTAAGCTCCAATACGTCCTGGACGCGCTGTCGGAGCCAATCATAGGTACGATTCGGGTCGCTGATCTTCATGCGCTGGTACTCGTACATAGCTTGTTTCATCCAGGCATGTCTGCGGATCTGTGTGCGAAACAAAGATTCCAAGATCTTTGGATCGGGCGCCTCTCGGCACTCCAATAGTAAAGCGTCCCAATCAGTAATAAAACGCTGCAAACCATCATCTCGCATCCTCAGCTCTTTGAGGCGCTCGAAGTCGTGCAGGTCGTCATCAACCTCTGTCACTTTGTAGGACTGTAGTATGTGCCAGTAGACCTGGCGTCCTTTGAGCATGCGTCATGCTGTGTGCTCTCTGGTTTCGATGAGCCTGATTTGGTAGCGCAAGTCTGAGGATAAGATGTCGCTGAGAGTGATAGCGAGTTTGCAATCAATGCTCTCGAAGTCTCCACTGTCTTGTAAGTCCTCGAAGGTGCACTCGGGTTGTTCAGCCACGCATAGGAAAACATATGCATTGGAAGGTCGCCCTGAGGCGGCTCCAAAATTATTCCGTACTTTTTGCTGCCACTCAAGCAGCTGAGTGATCTTAGGCAAGACAGGGGCTCGGACGGTGTCTGACTCCTTGGTAGGAGTAGTGGTGTTGACCAAAACCGCAGACAATGGTTGTGAGGGCATCGGTACACCGTCAGTAATTGGTTCTGTGCGCACAAAAGACACGTGTCGTGTCTGTGTTGAGGCTGCCGCGGAGGCTGCTCCTGGTGACGTACGTCGTTGTTGTCCTGCAGAAGCTTGTGGTGCTTCGGCGGACGCTGCCGTCGGCCTGTGGAGGTCGGTGGCAGGTTGAAGGTGAAGTGTGGTGTCGTTAGCGTGGTCAAGCTGATTTGTCCAGCTCGTCATGTCTTCGTGTATACGTGCCACCTTGTGGCGTGCATACTCATCAGTATCCCGAGAGCGTTGTGAATACCGATCGAGTCGTTGCTCGTAGGCTCGGGGACGGGCGCCGTGTGCCTCCAACTCACTTTCCAGACGTGCGAGGTGCCCCTTCAACACGTACCTTCTCAGTATCTCTCTCACGAATAACCTGGGAAAGCTCTAGCTGCGCGTGGTCCGCCGCCTTCTCAACCTCCTGCAACCTGTCAGTGAGGCGGGCGAAATCGTAAACCGTGGGAGGCGAATCCAGCAGGCCTGTCTGGGCTCGTCCGACACGCAACTCTGCCAGGGCGTCCTGTACGCCAGGAAAACGCTGCTCGATGTCAGAGATCCGGTTAGCGAGTGGCTGCACGACAGCGTTGGTCGCGTCAAGCCTTTGAGTGATGACTCTCTCAGTGCGTTGCAACATGTCGATCAGGTTTGACGAGTTGGTGTGTGCTTCGGAGCGAAGCGTCGCCGTAGTGTGGTCCATGTGGGATCGAAGATCGTTGATCTGAGACTGAACATCGCCAAGGTCGGTGGCCTCGGCTGGTGGTGGTCGGTTGCGGAGCTGGTCATGGATGTCGTCGTGGAGGATCCTGACTGCTGAAACGCCTGTGTCGCGTACGAGCACAAGCTGTTGCTCCATCTGCGCAAGGTAGTTGCGCAGGTTCTCGACCATCGCCGACCGTTCACCTGCGCGTGACATCTCGCGGTCAACCTGGTACTGCAGCTCACCTAAGATGCGTCGATCTTCGGCGATCCTGGAATCAATGATCCCTAAGGCGCCGTCAAGATCTTGGCGTAGAGCAGCAGTGTTGGCAGCGTTCGCCTGAACGCTCTGCAGTAGTCCAGAGTACTGCCTGGAGACGAAGGTTTCAACCTGGTCTCTGAGCTCAGCTATCTCACCTGCAGCGGACGTCTCCGCAGGCAGGTCGTCTGAGATGGAGAGGTGGGGAGCGTCAGCTTCCCTCGGCGCACTCTCGCGAGGAGTGCGTGGCCTCTGCGAGGCAGTGCGCGGGCTCGGCCTGCTTTCGTCGCATGGGCCTGTGGCCCCACGACGGTTGCGCAAGGGCGAGCTGCGGCTAGGACCGTGTGTGTGGTGCCGCATGAGATGATACCTTGGGGTACTACGTCTGCGGCTGTGCCGCCACTGGTCTACTGAGTTCCTCGAAGGTGGCTACGCGCTCCGCTACAGGAACGGTCGCAGGGCTGGGCGTGCCAGCGCCTGAAGTCCATCGGCGGTTAGCGCGAAAGCGCCCTGGAGTATCAGGACCAGCGGGGCTCTCGCCCGACGCAGTTGGGATTGCTCCCGACGGAGGAGGAGATGGAGGATCGAAGGTAGGCGTGTGAAACTCCCTACTGCCTGCTCCTACTCCTTCTCCTGTCCCCCCGCGGGCGGCGCGGCGGTGAAGTTCAGCAGCTAGCCGCGCCTCGGGTCCGTCGGAGCTGGGGGGGGGGGGGGGTACCTGGGACACCTGCACAGTCCACATCTCTCTCCAACTCGTCACCGAGCCGTCGCGCCGTCGGAGAGCTCGGACGCGAGGCCCCGATGGACCCCTTACGGCGCATGCGCCGCTTGGGTTCCATCGAGGCCGCGTGCGAGATCGCGACGCGGGGTTCGATGAACTGTGAGCTTTAAAGGGCTGATAACCTGTGTATGGGGTTAGAGTACAAAGGTACAGAACCCCTGATCCGCTGGTAGAGGAAAGGAGGGAAAGATGGATATCTTTTCCTCCTGCACGATCAAAGGTCTGATCGATCTAGTCCAATACCTGAGCCCAAACGGCCAGGCGCAGGAGAGGTGAGGATAAGGAGTATATATGAGGGTATCACACGGGTTCTATTCACAGGGCCCACATAGGCTTGGAAATGCAACTAGGACTGAGGAGGAGAGGTGAAGTCTAGCCGCAGGGCAGCGCGAATGGTGTTGGTATGCTGTCCATTGTTCTCACTCCGCATTTCCCCCATATTGAGAACGTCGCAGAGCGTCGCATTCCTATCGTTCGCTGTGCACAATCATGAACGCGCCAGCCCTTCCACAATTCACTTCAAGGACAACCTCTGTGGGCAGGAGCGGCACCGCGATCCGAATCCTGTCGGCCAGCCATCTGCATGTCCACGTGCTCTCGATCGTCTCGCCTCACTTCCTCCCCCTCGTCGGGCGCCGCGGACTTCGAGAGCCTCTTCGGCGCAAGCTCGTCCACTGGGAGCTGTTTGAGCATGAGGTCGTTGCCGGTTTGGGATTCAGGCGATATCTTTCAGCCGTGCCGTTGGACGCCTTTCCTGGTGTTGCCCACTGCACTGCCGCGGAGGATGCTTCGCACAGGTTTGCCGCTCTGTAGCAAGTCCAGGGCGGTCCGTGGAAGCGAAGTGGCACCTGTAGCCTGAAGGCGCCGCGGCAGCCTCTGCCCGAAGCTGGGGCCGCCCGACCCGTCTTTGTCGAGCGACATCCAAGGTCGCCGATCTCGGGACCGCCTGGCCCAAATCCATCATCAAGTGGTAACGCACGGAATCTTGATCCGGCATAAAAGACAGCCGGGGAAACGTCCAACAACACGTCCCTAGCGGGGTTGACTGGCACAACCAGCGCCCCCCCCGACCAGAGTAGCTGGCGCCAGCGGCGCTGCCGCTGCACGCTGGTTTTCCTTGTCACGGAAGTCCAATGACGTTCCGTTTGCCCCGACCCAAGAATCACTGCCGAAAGGGTAAGATTTGTTTGCCAGGAGCCTCCAGCACTGACGCGGTTCCTTGTCTTTCCCCTCTCCCCTGGATTCCTTGGGTTCCCCCCCTGTCCTTCCCGCCTGGCGCCGCATCCTTCGCTACATGATGGGTGGCAACGGGAACTTGGTCGGGGTTCCTTTTGTAGGGGATTCCCCTCTTTCCCATCTCCATCTGAGCCTCCAACTTGTCGCGTGCGAGCTTCTCCTCGGTCGACGCTTTGCGATGCTGCCAGGGGGTCGCTGATCTTGGGGGTCGCTGATCTTGAGGGAGCAGACCAGCGCCCCGACTCAAGGCATAACACGATCCTTTCTTCGAAGAAGTCGAACTGGATTCCTTACTCTGGCACCGCTGACGGTCGCCTCCTTTGCTACGCCCCTGTCGAGGGAGGAGGAGGGCGAGGAGGAGAAGGAGGGGGAGGAGGAGGGAGGAGGTGGAGGAGGAGGAGGAGCGAAGCGGAGGAGCGAAGAGGACAAGGGAACAGAGGAAGAGGAAGAGGAGGAGGAGCAGGAGGGAAGAGGACGCCGGAGGAAGAAAAAGACTGTCGTGGCGACGGCGACGGCGGCAACGGCAGCGCACGCGGCGCCGTGCGCCAGCAGGCGCGCACGCCGGGCGGATCCCCTGCGGGGCGCTCGCCCAGCCGAGGCCCTGGCCGTCATCAGGCAGCCCCTGTCGAAGCCCCGCAGCCGCGCCTCTCGGAAGGTGCCGCCGGGGCCCCCGTGGAGAATCCCCGGTGGAAAGCGGGCCGCCGAGGACCGCCAAGGGCCGCCGATGGCCCCCTCTGGCCGCCGAGGGCCGCCGAGCACCGCTGGGGGCCTCCGAGCGCCGCCGAGCGCCGCTGAGGGCCACCGAGGGCCGCCGCGGGCCGCGCGGGGCCGCCGATGGCCAGACACGGGCGGGCGGACAAGGGCAGACACGAGGCAACCCATGATGATCAATCCAAAAACCTATTATGGTCCAGTTTTCCTCATCCTCACTCATCCACCCTCTCCCCCTTCCTTCTGATCCTCGCCATTTATCGCACCTCTTCCTCATGCAATACCTCCTGATCGTTCTCCTGCTCCTGCTCCTGCTCCTGCTCCTGCTCCTCCTCCTCCTCCTCCTCCTCCTCCTCCTCCTCCTACTACTCCTCCTCGTCCTCGTCCTCGTCCTCCTCCTCCTCCTCCTCCTCCTCCTCCCAATCCCAATCCCAATCCCAATCCCAATCCCAATCCAGCTCCTTGAAGAGCGGGGGATCGTAAAGATAAGGGGGGAGGGCCAGAGGAGGTGTGAGAGGAACGTTGCGAAGGGCGGCCCTGTTCCCGCCCTGACCGCTTCGGCCGCCCGCCGGCAACCGCCAGGTCGAGGACAGGATCGAGCCCTCTGCGTACATCATTCGAGGTTCATGTCTGGCCTCGATGCACAATCGCATCGATCGGATCGACATGGACCCTGATTGTTCGAGATTCGAGGTTCGACTTGCCTGAACGCGTGCTGCTAGGGTCTCGATGCTCCGTAAACGGGGACGCTTGAATATCTGGGACACCTGCACGCCCAAGAAAACTGCAGTCATGAGCCGAAACATTCCGCATCCTTCGCTTTTTCCAGCTGGACCTGGCAAAGTTCCAAACACCCGTCTCTGAGGCCAAAGGAGTCCCAACCCCTTCCCAAGGGCATTTGTTCATCCAGGATCCGTTTTTCTAGGCCCTGGGCCCGTAAGGGGCCCACAGGAATCGCGGGATCGTCATTTTGCTGCTCGAGCGCCCGAGCTTTCAGTGACAGCGGGCCGCATTCCTCGAGCTCTGGACCCCCATGTAGGCCCGCCCGCTCAAACAAAGGCGCCGCGCGAGGACAAAAAACAGCCCCAGGAATGGAGCCCAAGAGGTAAACAAGCCCGCGCAGTGAAAAAAGGGAACCAGCCGAGGCCCGGTGCCCTTCCCCTCCACACAACTCCCTTCACCCCCGTAGGTCTTGCCCGCCTTCTTCCTCCCCCCTCCTCCCCTCCCCAGAGCGAAGCCACCTCCTTCTGTTACCCGCCTCTCGGAAGCATCTCTTGGGCCCGGCTCCTCTTCTCGTGGATCCCCGGAGACCCTTCTCTTGCAGCTCTGTTCTCATCTCTCTCCTTTTCCCCCCCGCTCGAAGCACGCAGCCAGCGAAGCCGCGCGTCGCATCCACCACTTCCCCCCCACTCTTTCCCTTCTCATTGGCCCGCGCTCGCGGGGGCGGGTGGCCGGAGCCCCGGGTCTGGACCGCGGGCGCGCTTCCGGAACGCACGGCGGAACCTCTGGTGGCCTGCTCTGCGGCGGCCTTCGGCGGCGGACTCCTCCAGGCTTCCGGAAGTCTTCGACGATCTGCTGAGGCAGCCACATGCGGACACTGCCCCAACGGGTCAGCTTTGCCAGAAAAAAGGCTGGGGCTCAGAGCTTGACGAGGATATCTGCAGCCAAGTGAGCCCGAGCCGAAGTGCTCGATCACCCCGCGACTATAGAACCCGTAGGGTAGGGTTCGCGCGTGGTCGAAAACCGGGCTTTCGCAGGTGTTCTGTGGCAAATAGTTTTCGAGCATTTGTTCGATTGCGTCACGCTTCGAATAAATTGGGGTCGAGACCTCCAATCGTTTGTTTCGCGGCGTCGTGATCTGTGTTTACGAAGTGCGATACGAAGTGCGATATTGGGGAAGGCCTTGGCATGGATGTCCGAAAGCAAACCTTACTCGAAGATCGATCCATCGAGTGGGGCCGATCGGGTGGAGCTCCGTCCCTGGAGGAGCGGTGTCAACCCCTGGAGGAACGCAATCGAATCGATCGGTGCCGCGCGGAGACATCGGCACAACTCGTGAAATCGCCGCTGTCTCCTTCGCGGCGAGGAAAGGGGAACTGACATTTCTTCGGTGCTGAACCCTCCTGGGTCCTCCCTCCTCTGGGGACAATGCCGCTATTCCCTGGACCTGCCAATCCATCTGTGGCGGCAGGGCCTCGCCCAGCGGGGCCCAGAAAGGTGAAAACAGAGGGGGGGGGGACGGGAGAGCATCGGCACCGGCATCGGCAATCCATGTGTTCCTCCTCCTCGTCCTCCTCCTCCCCCTCCTCCTCCTCCTCCTCCTCCTTCCTCCCACTCGCCCACCTCCGCGCAGGGAGGCCCGACTCACAGCCCCGCGATGGCTGAGACAGGGAAGAGTGGGCGGAGGGGAGGTCCGAAAAGGGCCGAGCAGACAGCCCCAAACCGAGATCCGCCGGTCCCCTTGTGGGGCCACCAAGCTGTAGGATGGAGGTTTGCTGATCCCACCAGTTCCTGTCTCCAGTTTCCACTGTTACAATTCTGTGTTTTGCTGTCTTTTGTTACTTGTTGATGGACGGCGCGAGGGGGGGGAACCGAAAAGGAACCGAGTTACCACGCCCGAATCGCGTCGCCTGAATTCCTAGGGGGGGGGGCCTGGGACACGTATAAATACATGACACTCGCGCCCCCGAAGCCATAAACCTTTTGTACATTACACCGTACTACCGAGGCTACGAACCCTCATAAATTACAATACATTCGCGCCCCCGAAGCCATACACATTTACAAAATACGTCATATTCGTGTCCCCCGAAGCCTTAAACCCTTGTAAATAATGCAACACTCGCGTTTCCGAAAACATAAACCTGCGTAACTGTTGCAATGTTTGCGACCCCGAAACCATACATCGTCGTGAATTATACAATAACCGCGTGTCCGAAACCACACACCTTCGCGAATTACTCATAGTCGCGTCTCCGAAACCATAAACCCGCGAAAATTATGCAATATTTGCGAGCCCGAAGCCATACACCCTCGTAAATTACGCGCGAATCGCGTATCCACAGCCGTAAGCCATCGAACTACAACACCGAATTCAACACTATTATCAAAATCTCATGTTGTCTTGTTATCATGTTTGTCTTGTTGGTTACTCATCGTCTTCGCGTGAAATCCCGAGGCCGCTTCACGGCGGCGCCAAGGCCTCATGATTTCGCTATTCATTTTGATGGGTGAGAATGGGGGTCGGGCGCAGGGTCCCGGCAATGGTGTCTCTATGGGCCACGCATGGGCGATACATCCTCGAATGATGTGTTCGGCGGGGGAACACATTGAAGCTCCCCGCCTGCACTCATGCGCGAGACTTGAAGGTGAACGAAGCAAGGAGGCGGGGGGGCTCGGGAAAGACGACGAAGGCAACGTGCGCTGAGGGCGCAACGAGAAAAGGTTGGAATAAACGAAATCGGTGAGGTGAGTGTCAAAATATGCCCAGTCAATCTAACATGCGGGACACTGCGCTTCAGCTAAGGGGATCTGGGGGGCCAGGGAAAAAGTGAAATTACATCGTGGGGAAAACAAAATGTGAATTCACATTTTGGGGAAAAGGAAAATATGAGCTCACACCCGGAAGAAAAATGAATTCACATTTTGGAATTTGGTGTGGGAATCTCGATGAAGGGACCAGAATGTGAATTCACATTTTGAAGAGGGCAACAAGGAATTCAGATTTGGGAAAAAAGAAAATGTGCATTCACACTTTCGGAGAATAGCGGGCCCCATTCCAAATCTGTCCTGGGGGTCGAGAAGCCATCGTTTGAGAACGCACGCGATCATCAAGCGCACAATCAAGACACACTTGCACTCCACTTCGCCGCCCCAAGCACGATATGCAAGAACGCCCGCACGCGTGAACGATAATGGATGGACGGCGCGTTTGCCCGCGTTGGCAACGGGCGGGCACGAGCGACTGGCCCTCCACGACCGCCAGCGTTGAATGCCAATCATACCCGATCACACACATGAACGATACATTGAGCATATATGGGCCATTCAGCCCCCATTGAAGACCTCCTGTTGCAGACCCCCTCTTTCACCCTCCAAGCATTGCCCATTATCCGAGAGAGGGGGCCGGCGGCAGGGGGCGAAGCCCTTACGGATAACCGGCACTCGACACTCAAACATCGATCCTCGGCCCTTGAACCTCGACCATGGATGCTCGAACTTCGACCCAAACCATCGATGCTCTCAACGTCGCCATTTGTTCGGCCGCGCCCAGGCGCTCGCAGCCGACAGGTGCTGAGAAAACCGCCCCATCACCAGGGCATGCTTAAATCTGAAAAGTACGCACACCATAATAGAAAAGGAACGCCTGCAGAAACCAAAAACTTTCGAAGGTACGCGCGGATTTCTTGGATCGGCGCTGGACTCCCGTCCCGGGCGCGCGGAGCGCGGCACAGGCAACGCCAAAGGCGCCGCCAGAAGTCCCGGCGCCGGTCCGAACCATCCGCGCGGGCCTTAGAAAGCGTATGATTACGTGTGTCGGCTGTTCCTCATCGATATGACACGCTTGGGGCCGCCGCCGTGAACGGCATCTGCACAGTGCCACCGTGCCTGGCCACGGCCATCCTGGGCACTGGCACGGTAGGCGCCCTCCTGGTCGGGGCCAGGCGGGTCTAGATTCGGCTACGCGCGAGATTGGCCCCAGGCAAGAGTGACCTTTGGTGCGCGGCGTGCCGCTCCGGGACAGGCCTGTGTATAGCCTGTGCGCAGGCCTGTCGCAGGTCTGTGTAGAGGCTGTGCATAGGCCTGTGGTGAGCCTGTGCGAGGGCCTACGCCCCGCGACAGGTCTGTGCACAGCCTGTGCACAGGCCTACCACAGGCCTGTGGACAGCCTGTGCACAGGCCTGTGGTGGGCCTGGGAGGTCCGAGACATGAGA